GGTAATTTTTTTTTATAAAATAACACAAATCAGCGTTTTTTGGGGTTTTTTTTCAATTGTTTTAAACGTTTAAAACAAGTTGTTTAAAACAAATTGTTTTAAAACAACCCAACCCTGTTATAAATGAAAGTGCATATTTGTTTTAAATAGAAAATTATCTAACATTGATAAGACATTTTTTCAAATATTTTTTCTCAAAATTGAAGGACTACTTATACTGTTAAATGGTATTATCGTTCACTTTAATCTCAAGCATAAAGGGTTAATACTATTAATAGGGATTTTTGATTTCTATTCTAGGTGAACGCAAAAGATTGAAAAAGGATGCTGTTCCATCATTATTTACATTCAAAAAGTCTGTATGCCCAAGGAGAAAGTTGAGGAGAGTCTTTGAAGCTTCAGTTAACCCGGTAATTTTACAGAATGAAGAGAATGAAGTCATCAATGAAATTGTAATTGATCACTCTTGCGTTGATGTTGCAGTGCCTGTTGATTGTGAACCATCCCAAAATCATAATGTTGAAATTCAATGTCACCTTTTGTCAGATATAAATTATAAGTTCTCCATTGAAAATCCAAGAGCCATTAAATATTACTCTGGGTTTAATGATTATGCTCATTTTATGTTTTTCTTTAATCTTCTTGGCCCTGTAGTTTTTGATTTAAATTATAAATGTTCTTTGTTGGAACCTAAGGATCAACTTTTCTTAACTCTCATGAAATTAAGACAAGCCAAGGAAGATTTGGAACTCAGTATTTTTTTTCAAAGTCAGTGAAAGTACCGTTTCACAACTAATTAATGTATGGATCAATTTTTTATATTTCCAATTAAAAGAAATCAATATTTGGCCTGAAAAATCTATTGTGCAAGAGAATATGCCTAGTAAGATTAAATCTGCATTTCCTAGAACACGTGTAGTACTAGACGCCACAGAAATTCCTATTTCAAAGCCACAGAATGTTGATGCCCAAAGTATGACATTTTCTACATACAATAATAAAAACACACTGAAAACCATAATCGGTTGTTCACCTCGAGGACTTGTATCATATATCAGTGACAGTTATGGCGGATCAGCTAGTGACAGACAAATAATTGAACGATCCACACTAGTCAATAATAATGGTATGTTTGAATCAAAGGATAGCATAATGGCTGACCGGGGTATTATGGTCCAGGATATCTTTGCATCCAAAAATGTTTTTGTCAACACCCCAACAATGTTGAAAGGCAAGTCGCAACTAGAACCCGAACAAGTCATACATGATCGTCGAATTGCTTCAAAGAGAATTCATGTCGAAAGAGTGATAGGTTTAGGCAAAACCTACAAAATTTTGAAAAAAGATCTGCCTGCCAGCAAACGAGCTCTTGGTTCAAGAATTGTATTTGTATGCTATATGCTATCAAATCTCCGTCCATCAATTGTCAACAGACTTGCCTAATCACATCCCCCCAATAGATCAAACAAAGAAATCTAGTAGGCCTGTAATATAATAGTGTGTTTATTACTGTAACTACATGTATTTAATATCATAAATAAAGCCTTTTATATAACATAACATATACCTATATTAATAATAACAATAATAACAATAGTACACAATCTTTGCATTGTACAAGTCTCTTAAAAATACATTATGTAAAATTTAGATAAGAGCCGATTGTTCCTGCTATGATAGTTCAAAAATAGATAATGCAAAATGAATATATTGAAAATTTTATTCAACTTACTTTATTGTAAGCCAAGTTATCAATGTCTGTAGTTTCGACAAGATGTGTGCATTGATTGTGTACGTTAATAAATGTCTGATAATTTATTATAACATTTAAGGCCAAAAGAAAGACCTGCAATTATAGGTAAATGTAGCACTCTTGAGTAATGTATATTTAACTTGCCATGAATGATGGTAGCGGCTATTAAAAGAGAAAATCTCTTATTAAAAACTTTCAAGAGATAACATTTCTGTGGAAGCGGACAAGTACCATGCAACCTTTGTTTATCAATATAATAGTCATGTTCTAATTTTTAGATATTGTACATATCACCATTGTTATAAGGCCTTACAAAAAATATTCTGGTTCTCAGACAATCCTGTGTAACCTGAAAAGCACTGCATGACCCGTTTTTATTTAAAAATAAAAAACACGAAAAAAGACTATTTAATTATTGCATATAAATATTTTGCACTCCAGCCATCCCCCCCTCCCCCACTAACTCTGTAGGCTAATTTATCATCAATGTAAGCTTGACACTTTTAAGTGAAACAGGATAATTGTACATTCCCATAAACAACATGACATATACTTAGTAAATGGAAATATGTGATGTATATAAGAAGGCATTTGATTTAGCCCAGTAGTGATCCAGTAGAAATTGTAAATATCACCGTTGTTATAAAAGGGATGCTTTATATAAGGTCTTGTTTAATCTGATATCAAATTGATTAATTTTTTTTTACAGAACTGTTGTAATTGTACATATCACCATTGTTATAATTATAAATGAGATGCAATATAAGGTCTTAAATATTTATGATAAAATAATTCAAGCTTAGGCAATAAAGAACCTTTACAATAATCATTGTCAATTTCTATTTTTTCTATATAAAGATCTTTATGTGTAAATATTATGTGTTTAGATAAATAAAGCTGTCCTTGTACCTGAGAATAATATCGACTGTTTCTAGAAAGCCTGACTTTGCTGCTACCATCCAAATATTCCAGATAAGGGAAATATTTTCCCGGAGCAATATTTAAATCCGTTCCTGTATATGGACATTTAATTTCAATTATTTTATTATCATCAATTACTCCATCAGGAGTTGCACCAAGATACGGATAACTTGGGTGCACAAAAACTCCACATTTAGACACAATGAAACCCGTCTTCAATTATTTAATTATCATCAATTACTCCATCAGGAGTTGCACCAAGATACGGATAACTTGGGTGCACAAAAACTCCACATTTAGACACAATGAAACCCGTCTTTTCTTCGAAAGATTTGCATGCAACAGTTTCAACTTTAAGACCATGTATTACAGGCGGGCCACTAAGAACAGGTGGAAAACAAATACTTTTACAAAGTTTGTCAATATTTCGTCTTGCAGTCATATGCATAACATCCCCAAATCGAGATGCAGTCAAACGCCACTCCCTGGCATCATGCCATTTTAAACACAAACTTTGTCTCCTTGTAGCTGCCTCTAGCTTTATTGCTTCAGCCTCTTTTATCTGAAAATAACTGTCAACCCAATATTGCGTAAATGGTAACATTAAATAATCATGGTCTTTAACTGCAGTTAAAATATCAGCTTTGGGATATAAAAATTTGACCGTTAAATCAGTTTGTTCTGTAGAGCAGTAGTTGTACACACGGTTCCTAACATCAGCTTCAAAGCCAGGCTTGTTGCGATGCGCTGAAGGACGTGGATCATCTAAACAAGGTTGTTTTGATGCAGGGAAATTCTCTGATTTTACCGGGGATCCTGAAAATAAATCAAAATTTTATTAAAGGGGCATTGGCATTAGGTAAGATTAGATAAAGAGCCGACAGTTCTTGATATAATAGTTAACAAATAGATAATGAAAAGGGAATATGTTGAAAATTTCAGTCAAATTACTTCACTCGGAGCCTGGCGATTGGCGACACATTGAGAGTCTAGCTCTGATTGTCATTGTTACAATAATAAATCGCAAAAGTATTTAAATCTACTTAATATCAGAGATATCTGATGGCAATCATGGCATTGATCATTCATGTTTTATTGTGTTGATCTTGGTAGTTAATTAATGTCTAATTAATAATTTATATAACATCTAAGGTCTGAAAAAAAACCTAGGTCTGAAAAAAGACCTTCAATAGGCCGAATTAGCTTAAATAGATAGCTTAAGACAAGGACATGCTATTGCTAAGGAATTACATTGTCAACCAAGGACATACATGTAAGTAAAAATAAAACCCCTAACTCTGTCCCAGGCTTCTTGACTAAGAGGGAAATGAAAATTTTGTATCTTAACATATTCTCTTACCTTCATATTGCCTTTTTGGCATGTGGAAAGATTGCAAATTCTCAGTACAACTTCTCTTGATTTTACACTGCCCATCTTCAATGAATTTAACCAGCATCAGTAAAACTGCAGCCAGATGTTTGCAGGTTCCATGTGGGCCTTTACCAGCAGGACATTCAACAGTGACTATTTACAATTTCACCACTACTTTTTTAAACGCTGAGTTTATAGTTGTAAGTTACCTGTAATAAAATACACAAGTTTCATTTGGGCCGATTTTCTTAATACTATATGGATATTCAATAATGATGTGCCAGATATTATATTTAGGAAATTGAATGATTCCTTTACATGAGCTGCAGCCTGTAAGTCTACTAATCAATCTATACATGTATACATACAATAAAAGTAATAAAGTATCTCTTGCAAAGAAGAATATCTCTATCAATGGTCATAAGAAATATATCGGGAGTAATTTCAGAATATCTGATCATTTCTTTTTTACCAGAAATCTAATTGCTGTTTACTAAAAATGCGATGCAGATAATGTGATTGGCATGATTGACAGAGATAGGCTTTTAATATCTAGCCAATAAAACAGGAAACAAAATTCCCTGATCAGCTCACCAGTTCTCCCTATTAAATTATAACATAAATAAAGATTTAAGCTCACAAATTACCTTCTTTTTCATTGCAGCAGCAAGAATTCCTGTAAAATAAATACAAGTATCTATTTTACATAAACTGCATGCAGAAACTCGATCACTTTCAATCAACTTCTCTCCTTTCTGCAATGCTTTTAAATCATTGGCCATCACATGATCAGATACCATTCTGTATTTAAAATAACCATCTATTTGACATCTATCAATTTTTGGTAACGTTGATCTGTGTTCAGATACAAGTTGTCGAAATCCTGAACTAGGCCACTGTGGAATTGTGTACTCAGGAAGATGGATAACAGGATTTCTAAAGTTATCATTATTATCATAGGCATCTAACCTTAAAAAAATAAGAATATTATTAATTTTATTAGAACACATAGGCCTAATATACATTGTCTTAAAATTTATTTAGAACACAAGGCTTCTATAAACACCACAAAGCAAGTCAATCACCACTTGGAATTTAGAACAAAGTTTATAATAATAGGCCTATCTATATAATATTAATAATAATACGGTAATCAGCATGCTATCTACATGCATACACAAATAATTGTACTTCAGGAGTGTTAGGACTATATTAAATCTCTCATCAAGTTAAAATAGGCCTAGTTAATGAATTAGGCCTATTCAGATTTAAAACTTTCGTGGGCTTGCCTAGGTTAGTTGATATGCTATACTTTACTATTTTTTTAGATAGATAGATACACCTCCCAAAAAGAGCTTTTTAAATGATAAACAATGGTGTTTAGTTTTTCGAGCTAGCTTAACTAGAAGCCGAGATATTCAAATTTAACCTCGTTAAAATTCGTCCCTTTTGTTCTATGTAAATGAGAAGACAATGCAATTAAAAATTGTGATAATTTCCGGCTAGATAATCACTTAAAAACACATATCTTCAAGACTATTAAAAGTACAAACAAGAAATTTGGAGTAAGTATTCCTTAAGATAAGGTGCCGGCGTTGCACAAATTAATAGGGTCCTAAATGTTAATTATCAATGACCTTTGACCTTGACCTCTCGAAAGGTCAGACCAGAAAAGATGTATAAATCTTAACCGATCACAGTAAAAATGATATAACTTCAACAGTTTTTCAGATATTCATCTGAAATTTTGCCAAAATGTTATTCCCTAAGATAAGGTGCCTGCGTTGCACAAATTAATAGGGTCCTAAATGTTAATTATCAATGACCTTTGACCTTGGCCTCTTGAAAGGTCAGACCAGAAAAGATGTATAAATCTTAACCGATCACAGTAAAAATGATATAACTTCAACAGTTTTTCAATATTCATCTGAAATTTTGCCAAAATGTTCTTCAAGTACACACCTTATAGGATACTTAATTACTTTGTCTCTATCCTGTGTTTTAGGTGTCCTGCTGACCTTGATGACATGACAAAGAAATGATACATGAAATTTTATTTCCAAAAATCAAATATTTTCACCTTTCATTGTTTGGATCATTCATACTTGGTTTCAACAAGCCAACAGTGAGGCTGATGTCCCCCGCCGAAATCCCCAAATAAATAGATGACACATATTAATTAATCGCACATCTATTTTTTTCCAAAGTATCAAGCAATCAAACTGATTATCAACTATAAACTAAGTTTCATCACTCTCTATCAGATAGAATCAAAGTTATCTTGTCCCAAAGCAGGAAATTGCTTATCTCTGCTTAGCTTTAGCTCAATATGTTAATCATTGAACTCAGTCAAGACGAACATCTACATCAAGTTTAAACATTCTACCTCAATTAGAAGAAGAGTTTGACCAATCAACATGCTTATTGCTCGTTGGCCTAAGCAAAAAATTCTCATCATCGAACTTAGTCAAGGTATTGATGTAATGAACTATACACCAAGTTTCATCACTCTCACCAATCAAATTGCTTATCTCTGCTTACCCTAAGCAGAAAATGATCATCTTCGCACTCCATCAAGGCATTGACCTCATTAACCCCTACACCAAGGTTGAACATTCTAGCTCAATTAGAAGGAGGGTTATTGTGTTCCAAAGTCTTGGCCAATCAAATTGCTTATCGCTCTGCTTACCCTGAGCAGAAAATGCTCATCATCGAACTAAGTCAAGGTATTGATGTAATGAAACTATACACCAAGTTTCATCACTCTCACTTAATTGGAACTAAAGTTATTGTGTCCCAAACAAAGCATCAACCAATCAAATTGCATATCTTTGCTTATCCTAAGCAGAAAATGCTTATCTTCACACTCCATCAAGGCATTGACCTAATAAACACCAACACCAAGTTTGAACATTCTAGCTCAATTAGAAGGAGGGTTATTGTGTTCCAAAGTCTCGGCCAATCAAATTGCTTATCGCTCTGCTTACCCTGAGCAGAAAATGCTCATTATCGAACTTAGTCAAGGTATTACTGTAATGAAACTATACACCAAGTTTCATCAATCTCACTTAATTAGAACTAAAGTTATCGTGTCCCAAAGCATCAACCAATCAAATTGCTTATCTCTGCTTACCCTAAGCGGAAAATGCTCATCTTCGAACTCCATCAAGGCATTGACCTAATCAACACATACACCAAGTTTGAACATTCTAGCTCAATTAGGAAGAGAGTTATCGTGCCCCAAAGTATCAACCAATCAAATTGCTTATCTCTGCTTACCCTAAGCGGAAAATGCTCATCTTCGAACTCCATCAAGGCATTGACCTAATAAACACATACACCAAGTTTGAACATTCTAGCTCAATTAAAAGTTATCGTGTCCCAAAGCATCAACCAATCAAATTGCTTATCTCTGCTTACCCTAAGCGGAAAATGCTCATCTTCGAACTCCATCAAGGCATTGACCTAATCAACACATACACCAAGTTTGAACATTCTAGCCCAATTAGGAAGAGAGTTATCGTGTCCCAAAGCATCAACCAATCAAATTGCTTATCTCTGCTTACCCTAAGCGGAAAATGCTCATCTTCGAACTCCATCAAGGCATTGACCTCATAAACACATACACCAAGTTTGAACATTCTAGCTCAATTAGGAAGAGAGTTATTGTGTCCCAAAAAGTGTGACGGACAGACAGACGGACGGACGGACAGACGGACGAACCCATTTTAATAGTCCCCTGCTTTCTTCGAAAGGCGGGGGACAATAAAGATATAAAGGTATACAGATTGAAGCCCTCACTGACTGAAATACAAAACCCTTGAACACACTGCAGAGATCTTGGTAGTTTATCTTCTTTGGCGATAGACAGTTGGTTCCGGAGACCAACTACAGTGATGACGAAATTGGTTTTATTTTAGGCCTACATGTCATTTAGTGTTAAATCACCAGACAAATAATCTGCCAGGAACTGCACTACTGTAAACTTGTAGTCAATTGCATTCTCGACTGTTTCCTCTGGAGACCAGTAAGCCACTTTTAGATTTGGAATTTTGGCACGAGATAGAGCCCAGATAACTTTTCCATGATAAAAATGTTTTTGACCATCATCGGAATCATACCATATACGGTCTATAAACTTATCAGTGAGGACAGCAAGATCACTTATAACTGTCGATATAAATTGTTGCGTTTCACTGTCAAATGAGGATAACTTATCCGCGACTGTTGCTCCTTTTTCATAAATGTCCTTTAAGTTCCGTTCGATTTTCATACGGGCGCTTTTGTCAAATTTCTGCAACTTGTTCCTCACTCTATGGTCTTGTATTTTAGCAATATTTTCAGCCCTTTTTTTCCACAAATTTCTCTTTTGTCTTGCTCTGGTAATACTAAAATAGATGATGGATTTCTGTTGAGTTGATGTCTTACTGGCAAGCCATGACATGGTGTTGTTTTTGGCGGATTTCACTTTTCCATCTATAAAGCCTGTTGTAGCATTTGGAGCTCGTTTAAAATGATGGTCAGTGAGTCCCATGATACGCTCTGCAAACATGTTGTGTGTAGGGGCAGACTTGGTTTGTTCCAAAAGAGCTGGTGAAGGGTTTGACAAATCACCACCGATGTAACACCAATAATACCATCCACCAATGAACAGCTGATTTTTTTAAACTGTTCTTCTGCATAAAGACTTGAAAGGGGTTGACGGAGAGCTTGTAAAACACCATCATCAACTTCCAGTTCCCTGTCAAACACATCCTTTTTTACAGTCAACAAAGATAATGGGTTTTCCCTAAAATATCTCAAATTGGTTAAACAGGTATTCACCATAGGATTTGTTTCAAGATTAGTAAGATTAGACTCGTTTGCATAAAATGTTACCATCCATGGTCCAGTAAGTAATTTTCCCAATACCCCTAAAACACGCAATTCTAAAACTATTGTAGTGTTTTGTAGATCTTTTAGTAATGCGCTGCAAAGAGTGGTCTGGTTATTGCACATTTTATCGAAGTATAAACATAGCTTATCATACAGGTGAATAACAACTCCAGCTAGATGAAAAATAATGTGAAAGCGATTTCCGACATATCTTACAATAACACCACACTTAAGGTCATGCTTTTTAAGAAATAACTTAAACCCATGTGGATCGCCTTTGCCCTGTTTGTAGCGCATTTTACTGATTCCGTACAAAAGATTAGCGGTACGACAGTCACTGCCGAAGGTATTGCTTTCGACAGAATTATCAGTGTCATAGGTTTTCAGCGACTCCCGACATTTTCGAGCAACACTCTCTAGAGGGTGGACATTACAGTTTAACGATAGAAGTTTGATATCCAAGTCTCTCTCGAGTTCTCTCACCGTAGCAGCATTCACATTTACACGATCAGACATGGTATTTTTCAAATGACTTATTACTTTTTTTTCAGTCACCACAGCACTTATATTGTGAAATGATGAGTATGTATGAACGATGTCATGGAGACTTTCCTTTACATGATTAGCATAATCTACTGCCTCACCACCAGGGAGAACTGCCACCTGCATAACATAACCTGTGGGAGGCACAGTTCCAGTTGTTATATGGATTTCATTCACATGATCACCCGCTAGTGATGTAGCATCCCACGATATTGTTAGGTTATCATTATTAATTAGGATATCTCCCACCTGCAGGTCACTTATTACACCCAATTCATAAGAAAACTGGCTGATTGTTCCTGCACTTGCAAAATTGGCAATAGATACATCAGCTAATTCTTCCAAAACATGGTTTATAACATTACTTGTTGTCTCTACAGGTACTTGGTTTTGTAGACAATAATAAGCTGCTCTACGAAACTTATCGCTGTAGGTTTTGTCATCTTTTTTAGAACTTATAACATTACAAAAGGTTTTAGCCTCTTCAAATTTAAGTGAAAGATTTTCATGAGCTCTTTCCAGCTGAGACAATCTATTTTTGATGTCTGAATTTTCTTCTTGTAATTTTTTCAAACACGACTTAAATTTCGCTTTTTGTTTTTTTAACTTAGAAACATCATTATAAACAGAAGTATTAGACAATGTATTGTTTAAACGTTTAATACATCGATCTTTTTTCACTAACTCAGCCTTCAAACCACGGACTTTAGCACGAAGTGAAGTCTCAATATTTTCTTTACGAGTCAAAGCCTGACACAATCTAATTTTTTCTGAACTTTGGGGTTTCACTATTTTCAGCTCAGCTAATAAATTCCGCCTTGATTTTGTTAGCTTTTTCACTGATGTTCTACGATGCACACAGCTTTTGCAGTCACTCTTTAGTTTTTTAGGAGATGGAGAACACTCCGAGTGATAATTTACTCTCTTTAAAGAAGCTGGTTGAGGTGTAACAGTCAATGATGTTGGAGTTGCAGATGAAGTTGATGGCTGAGGAGAATTAAATTCGACTTCTGAAATAGTTGGTGTGACTTCTCCAACTGCAGGACGAGGACACTTTAAAGGTTCATTTAATAAATTTAAAATTGATGTCCAATTTCTCTGAGTGTTTTTTTTTAAACTGTCCAGTGATTGTACAGTTCGCTGAACAATAGTTTTCACACTATTAAAAGTGGCCAATCTAAAGTCATCTGTCAGCTGTTGTAGTTGACGTGCTGTGGCTGCACGGTCTTTTTTATTTTCACCATAAAGATAAACTAACAATCCCTTACATAAAGTATCTCGAATTAATTTAATTTCTCCATTTTCATCAATCAAGAGGTCTTCCTTAAAACTCTGAATAAGACCTGGTAAAGCCATTGATAAAGTCTGAAATAATAAAACAAAAATAAAATAAATTTTCCATTTATCTAACATTATTGACATTAGCAATTAGAACAGTATTTTAGAACCTTATCATACATAAATATTTTCATAAATAATGAGAAATTATTTTAATTCATTTCTTGTGAACATAAAATAATTTTTTGTTAACTATATCAGCTTTGTTTACAAATCCACTGGGCTACATGTGCTCCTGTTGTGTTATTATTTACAAAGTCACGTGAACCAATCAACAACCAGGATAACGAAATCACGCAGCATTCATCCAAATTTACAACTAAAATTAATCCATTAACATCGGAGCCAAGTGAACACAATATACCCCAAAAACATATCAGTATGTTTAAAAACATATATAGCGATGGTTATAATATACTAATATGAGTAAATAACAACAATAGAACACTCCGCATAGCAGTTTCTGCAATGGCGAAAATTGAAAAAAATCACGTCAGCCGAGGCGGACCACCTGGACAGAGGCCCTTATTAAACAATCTGCGCATCAGTTTACAACCATGAAAATTGGGATACAAGTAGAAAAGACATAACATGAGGTGTGCAGACCATGCTCAATGATGTGTGTGCATTTTAAGGATAAAAATAATTATATTGAAACTTACCTTCAAGTTCGGAAACCGCTAAAATCCAAAATAATTCACAGATCTGAAAAAAAATTTCCCGGCTAAACCGCCATTAAAAATTTTATCACGTAGAACGAAACATCGCGAGATTTTTAAAAAAAACGCGAGATTTATGATAAATTGAAAACATCAACTCCCCAATGCCTCTTGTAATACGCGCTGCTATGACGTAACGTTTTTTGATTCCGGCTGACTGTTGAAATAGTGACGTGCCTATTAAAGGCTATAGGCCTAGATAGATAAGATAGGCTAAGGCCTAGCTCGAGTAGCTACGACCTGTGTGAAAATCAATAAATTACACTACCGACAATGTGAGTAATGCCAAATCAGTACCTATACCTACGGGTGTAATTTGTTTGTTTCTAAATGCCGACGAATGAACGTCCGAACCGCTTATAAACTTGAAAGTGGGTCGCAGGTTTGGAAGCCATAGATGATAGATAATAACAACTTATTATCTATGGTGAAGCGCACGAACATAAGGCAGTCGCTGAAATGGGAACGGGGCTTAATTAGGTTATTATAGGCTAATGTTTACTCGATGACACTTACCTCTCAATAAGTGCCTATTTTCTGCCCGTTGTCCTTGCACCTCGTTTAGCTAACTCGTCTTTCAATTTTCCAACAGTAAATCGACCGTAATTATTTTCCGCCATGATTTTGCCGTCTGCTGTGAAAGAATAACCCATAATCCAGTGGCGCCACCTGAGAATCAGTGCGCGAGCGGACAACCCCATTAACTTATACCATAGCTAATATTCTGGCAATGGAGAATAATTAATCAAAACCATAATAATTACATAGATGTTCCTTAGCACAAATCCCTGACCTCCATATTACTACATGCGTTTCAGCCCCATTTGTAACAAGGGACTCGAAAAACGAGGCTAGACATATTCCACATGTCATGTCAAACGATGACGCCAATGACGTCATTGGATGACGCCATATTCTTACCTGGAGAGCATGCGCAATAAATATTATGTAGACTGGAATAACCAGACGCTAGAAATTGTCATTCGATTGGGACTTCTGGCTTATTTCGCCGGACATAACTGATTTGAAATTAGAGTAAAAAACGGAAACGATTGAATATAAATCAGATTATCATATTACATTATTTTATGCGTTGCGACCCATTTGTGTCAATTTCTAGGTCCCAAATATTAGCGATTTAGCTCCTTTAACTCGCTTTTTCTGAAAACTTCCTTTTCTGACTTGTTAAATTTCAAACTGTTATAGCTCAGTCAATTTTTGTCCGATTCAAACCAACCATACATCATTTTGAAGGTATTGGGGTGGAGAATGTGAAAAAAAACCAATAACTTAATTTGTAAAATTTCCTCACTGTGACTCTTTTATTCAACTTACCATATCCAAAAATAGTTACGTTTTGATGAATATTAATGGAACTGCTTGTTACAGACGTAGTGTCTAACACAAGCAGTGCCAATATCTCACGTCGTATCGTCTGCGTAATCATTAAAGAGTTAATAATAAGCTGATAATCAACTTAATTTCAATTGAACACGAGGATAAACAACTATGTACATCCTCATTCTTGTCAGTAAGTTTATGTGTAATGTATTACAATGTGACATCTTGCCATTAAACAACTTACTTTATTGTACCAGAACATTAATATAGTTCAAAACGGATCCGGACAAAAGTTGCGAAAACTTACCGACCCCATCTCCACATAAATTGTTATTGATAGTTATAATAGTACAATTGTTAAGAAAAGAAAATGGACGTTATGGATGATATAGTAAATAGTTAAAAATCCCATTAGTTGTGTGAGTCAGTATTCTGTAGTAATATGTTGTATAGCAGACGCTTAATTGTACCGGTCATGTGATATTCAATTGTTTGTTGCGGAACTATTACAAATACTCTTGATTCTGCCAACACAAAATGACGTTGGAAGTTGGGTATTTATTAAAAAGAACGGAAGGTTTCATAGACAACGGCTTATTAGTCGACGAACAAAAGATTTCATTTTGGCAGTAAAAGTGTCTTGGCTTCCGGTGGTAATCAAGCACGGCCTGCAGAGGTTTGCAATACTTCGCTTGTACAACCTCCAGAGCAATTCGATTTTAACAATGTTCTGAGTTGTCCCATATGGATCAGACGTTTTAACACATACAGAGTGGCTTCGGGTCTTGCCATATAGCCTAATGATCAACAAGTTAATATGCTAATCTACAGATTATGAAATTGTCAAACCCGTAAGAACATCATATTTGAACGAGCCAAATCTAACCAAAGATGTCAACATTAGGGAGCGTCTCCTCTCACTGAATTTGGTCCTCCTCGTGATGAACGTATTCCAGATCGGAGTGTGGTTGGTATAACGGATGCTAAGTTGTCAAAGAAACTACAGCTGGATCCTGTCCTAACATTACAGGCTGCAATTGATACTGATACTGTTAAACAACACGAAGCAGTTATTTCTCAAACCAAGGATATTCGTCAGGAACCTATAGAAGATTTACATGGAATAAAGGCTATTAGCCAATTTAAGACGAAGCCTAGTGGCCAAGAAAAACAACGTCTACAGAAATCTACCCAATTTTTTCAAGCTCAACAGCAGAAACT